TTCTTGTACACTCCTTAATATCTTTACATCATTCCCAGCCAATGTACTCTGCAGCCCCATCAATCTGTTTTCAAATATACAAAGATTGGTTGAGACTGTGGGAGACTGGTTTACAGTGCTTAGAAAAAAACAATGCAGGATTCGTAATTCAGGGATACAAATGGTTGAGGTGGGAACACTTTTATTTGAAGATTTGATCCAGCATACGATGCAAAATTTACTTGTTCTGTAGCTTATAAATATTACCTCAATAATACTGCGTTAAGACCTGTTTCAACATAGTTTCATAGGAGGGATGATAAGTGGTTGTGTATCATTGCAAGAATTGTGAGAAATCCCAGAAAGAGTAATGTCTTGGCTTGTTCTTAGGATTCCATAGGTTCCAGGGGTTACGCAAGCTCTATACAGCTGCAGCTTTTAACTTTCTTAGCACTCCCTCTGGGAATACAGATCATGATTTCCAACTGTGGGCTGCACAGTTACGTACTGTTCAATTCATTGGTCAATCAAAGGCAAAGGTTTGCATAATGAGGACTCTGAAAAGAAAAAGTTATTTTAATAATTTTGCAAAAACAACACATAAGCAAACAAACTAAACATATCCTTTAACTTTATACATAACTGATACAATCAAACACGTAGCAATATTACCATGCAAAATATTACCATGAAGATGGAAAGCAAAGCAAGTGCTTCTGACTATAATGTTAAGAAAATTGCTGTTTCACTCTGTAACATATCTCCTTATCATCCAACACGCTCAGAGACAGAAGATGTTACATACTCTACTCCATTTTACGTTTATTATCATCTTCTTTCTCATTGGAACATCTCGTTTTCCAGGCCAGCATATAAATAACGAAATACAAATTCCACATTTCAGGAGAACATGTGGTGGACAGTGTTTATTTTCAAAGCTAAATACCCAAAGGAGCTGGCCATTATTGTTTTTGTTTTTTGTTTTTTGTGGGGGAAATACCTCAGAGACTGGACTTGAGCAGATAGCGTGAGATTGAGCTGCCCTTTGTTGAACTGAGCACTTCCTGTGTAGGCGAGCTACGTTTGGCTCTATTGAATAAAACTGTTGACTGCAGAAGGCCAAAGATGCATGCTTGACAGAAATAAAAATGCAAAACATGTTAAAATGCAAGAAGGCATCACAAATGAGAAATTTTGTTATGGTAGTACAATGTTTATCAATGCAGCATGTTGTACATTGACTGCATGTCTCCGTAGAGAACTCTTAACAACCTGCAGGTAGTGTTCTTGTTTACAGTCCGCTCTGTACATTTTCCATCTTTGTTTGCCCACATAGTTCTAGTGGCTGACCTCAGAAGTTCTTCCAGATCAGAACTTCTTCACACGAACAGGCCTCCAGAGGTTTCTAGAAATTATCCATCACGTCAAGTCAAGGTAAACAATGTCAAGTGAAAGTCTCAGTCAAACTCCTGGTTCTTCTTCATTTGACGGCCACACTAGAGAACCAGAACTGAGCTACAGAACACAATTTCTTGTCATAGCACATCATTTTCTCCTAAATTTCAATACAATACACATTGCATAGACTATACCGATTAACATTTGGGGTCAGTAAGTTTTTCTGTTGTTGTTTGTTTTGTTATGTTTTTTGAAGAAATAAAAATTGTATTCATCAAGGATGCTTAAATTGCTTATAAGAGACAGTGAAGAAGACGTTTATAATGTTAAAAACTATTTCTATTTCAAATAGATGTTCTTTAAAATTTCTAAGTAGTAGTATGCGCACATCCAGAAAACTTTCAAATCAAGCATTTCAGAGTAAACAAAGAGTAAACAGACCTTCGGTCCTATGTAGTCAATAAATGAATCCTTTTTAAAGCAACCAAATAATAATGTTTCTTGAGCAGCAAATCAGCATGTTAGACTGATTTCTGAAGGATCGTGTGATGCTGAAGATTTAAGCATCTAATTTAACACAGGAATAAATTACATTTTAAAATGTATTAACAGTTATTAAAAAAATATTTCTCAATAAAAGATCAAAAGTGTTACTTTTTGATCATGCAATAAATACTGTTTTAGTGAACATAAGATACTTTTCAAAAACAAAAAAATCTTACAGATCCCAACCTTTATACACTCCTGTTCAAAAGTTTTAGATCGCTAGATTTGTTTTATGTTTTTAAAAGAAGTATCTTCTGCTCACCAAGGCTGCATTTATTTGATTAAAAAATACAAAAAAATAATAAAAAACAGTCATGTTGTTAAATATTATGACAATTAAAAAAAAACGTTTTCTTTTTTAATATATTTAAAAATGTAATTTGTTCTTGTGATCAAAGCAGAATTTTTAATATAAAGAAAACAAATTTAAATTGTAATAATATTTCACAATATTAGTTGTTTTTTAATCAAATAAATGCAGCCTTGTTGAGCAGAAGAGACTTCAGTCATGGGTCATTGCATGACAGTCTGGATTCAAGTCATGGAAAACAAGATGATAAGATTTTACAAATAGTGTATTGTGTTTGCTGAGACTCTCATTGCTCATCCATAGACTGAGAATGAAGATCCATAATACTGTTGTTTTATTGTAGACCGACAGTATGGAAGTCTTGTATGGGATAAGCAGTACGTTATACCTGCAGAGTGCAGACCCATTATAGGCATGCCCAAGGCTGGTTTGTGTCTACAGACATGCGTACAGCCTTTTTATTACTTTTTCCCATCTGGTTCCACCTACAATCAGCAGTGGGAGTGAATCTGGTCTAGGCTGCTGTTGTTGGAGACTGGCTCAACCTAGTCCTCAAGTGGTAAGTGGTAAATGTTGTTGTTTCAGTGAATATCCATGAATACCCTTTTAGAAGATGCTATCTCTCGCAAAATCGGCAGCAGTGATGTGATCACAGTGTAAACCCCTGCAGCTTCCATCGCATGACCTGAGGGACTTCCTTGAAGAGGGGACAGAATCCGCTGTGAAATCTGCTTTTGATTTAGTGTGTTGGTTTGTCTATAAAATGAGAACCATCTGGAGACACTCACCATGGCCAGTCTCGCAGATCAACCGGGGAACCATTTAATTTGTGGTAGAGTCAAGTTGTCATAATAAACAGTTTCTTTAAACCACGCTCACTAAACATGAACCTATTTAATGATTTAATAAATAGATCAGATATAAAGAATATAAATTCTTTACATAATAATGAAAGATGTTCAGTATTGAGAGATTGCTGTATTTGCTTTTTTCTTTTCCTGTTAACCTTCCTTTCCCCTTTTAATAAAGTACATTGTGTGTTTTCTAATCAACTGAGATAAGAGGAAGGAAATCACAACATTTCACAATCTAAAAGTATCTTTTATGGTTTCCAGTCCAATGGAATTTCCTCTTTAACCTGTGAACTCATTTATCTTAGCAGCTCTGTTTTTGTCACCATATCAAGTTCACTCACACAAAGATATTGAAGGTCATTTTGTAGAATGGTTCTTCATATAAATGTTTTGCTGTTTAAAGGGTTAGTTCACCCAAAAATGAAAATTCTGACAGTAATTACTCGCCCTCATGTTGTTCCAACTCCGTAAAGACTTTCGTTCATCTTCGGAACACAAATTAAGATAATTTTGATTAAATCTGAGAGCTGGATCACTCCTCCATATGGCTTCTAAGGGATTGAAACTTGCCGGCCCAGAAAAGTTGTTAAAGATATGGGTAAAATAGTCTAAGTGACTATAGTGGCTCAATCTTAAGTTTATCAAGCGAAAAGAATACTTTTTGTATGCAAAAAAAATTAAATAAAAAAAATAACGACTTTATTCAACTATTCATTTCCTTCTCTGTGGGCCTCGAGGTAGTTCACGCAGTGTAACGCTTCTGTGTTGTACGTCACAAGCAGGCTCACTATTGGCCGACGCTGGTCGTGTGTGATGTACAACACAGAAGTGCTGAGCTGTTACACTAGATGAACAAACTACAATTGTAGAAGCACAATAAGTTTTGTACCTTACTGCATGAGCACATTAGCAAATGTATACCACAGAATGAAAGCAAATTAAGCTTTTTAATTTTTGCCAATTAAGTCTGTTACTATTTCTCACTTTGCCAGTTTTGTATTATTCTAGGAAAAAAATATTACTTTATGCTTTGATGTATACAATTTAGAGCAGAGATATCATTAATATATTGAAAGAGCTGTGGAAGAAAGAGATCAGTCAATAAAGAATCAATCAGAATAAAGTTTTCAGTCAAAATGTATGCACATGTATTATACACTACATGTTCATTTGATATGTTTGTGTTACTTTTTCTATTTGCACTCACACAAATTGGTTATTGTTTCATAATTGTTTTACTGTTTAAATTTAGCTTAAAATAGGCTGTTCAATGTCAGGTTCAGTTGTGACAACTTACCCCTTTTTGTGTGATAACACCTCTATAAAAGGCAAATGTTTGTTCTGTGTACCTACAGAAAAAAATGACTTTCAAAAATGAACAAAAAAAGTAAAAAGGGTTACAACTATAGCCCTATTATGAATTCAACACTTTTTTTAATTAAGCTTGAACAATAAACTTACCATGATATGTTGTACATAATAACTGGAGGGCATAGCCAATACGTTACATACAACTTCAAGTTGTATGACACCATACAATTGTTCATAATAAATGGATTTTTTTTTTAATGTATTAAAATTGATAACTAGTTCCAGAACGCTTAAGAAAATCAAACTCAAGGATGAAAAAAAAAACATAAATAGTTATTATGTTTTTTATTAGTCTTCATCAGTGACATTATGTCTCAGTATCGCCATCTGGCGACAAAAGGAGGAACTGCACGACGGTAAAAAATAAATAAATAAATAAAATAAAACATTCTTTGTGTTCTTACTTGATAGACGTTTGTAAACTGTTAAAAAATAGAATAACTATCAATAAATCGTCCATATATTTTTAACACAACAGTTACCTAATCGTGCTTATCATTTTCCGTGAGACCTTTACGTTTTTTTTCAACCGGAAGTGGAGAATGTAAACAACAGGCGCGCGCATCTTGACCCGTGACTGTCTGTCATGAAACAGTTTCCTTACTGCTGATTAATGTTTCCCTCACTTCTACTGGAATTCATCACATATGCCGCCCTCGACAAGTGTATTCGATCTAACTGTATGAAGAAACCAAGCAAATTAGCCCTTGTGTAACGGCTGCAGTGAGGGAGAGTCGCGGAGAAGCGCTATGCCGCGACGGAAGGTATGAAGAAGGCCAGCTGCGCTGCGTACATGCTCATATTGCGCTCGCATCACTCACCTGTGTGTGTGTGTGTGTGTGTGTTCGTTCATGTGTCATCACGAGATCCAGCAGTTTGCATGGGCACCGTCGCAGTCATCCTTAGCAAATGACTGTCATGCTTTTTCGAGTTAATTTGTTTGTGCGGGGAATGTGTTCTGGATGGTTGTCAAAACTATCAAATTTAACTCGAAATGTACCAGTTAATTTGAACATTTATATAAAATTACTTAATAAGATATTTCCAGCCTTTAATACACACAAAGACTTTATAAAAATAGAAAATAAATGTTTATATATTTCAAGCTTATATAAAATACAGCCACATAGCCTATATTTTTGTGATACAAGGAAAGTCATTGTTATTAGCTAATATATTATGTTTTTATTCGTGCTTAAGTTATAATGCAATATTAACTATCAGGATAATATATTCGTGTGAACTGCGGTATTGGGATTCATGATGCATTGCAGCTCACCCAAAATATTGATTCTGACCTGTGATGTATACTGAATCATAATCTGTGTTTATTCGTTGGCCAGAAGAGACTGAGCCTAGTTTCTTCAAAGGTTTTTTTCCTCAGTTCTGTCACCTGATGGAGTTTGGGTTTCTTGCCACTGTCACCTCTGGTTTGCTTAGTTAGAGACACTTAATATTCTAAACTATATGATTGATCTGACCGTACTGACAATGTTGTATGAGAACTGAACTGAGCTGGATGATGACTTAATTTTGTTGCCGAACTTCTTTATAGATTAAATTTTAATAATTGTTGATCTTTACAATGAAACTGAACAACAGCTGAAATTTCCTGTTATCACTGTAGTTGCTATAAAACACTCTGTATTGTATAAGTGCTTTATAAATAAAGGTGACTTGACCTGACTTGAAGCATCAGAGCCCATGGCATTTTTATTAGATTTTGGTTCATTGTGTACACCCATCTTTATATTAATCTAGTTAAAATATTTTAATTCCTTCAAGCCAGGGACCCCAGTGTAAAAAAAAAAAAAGCTCAGTAACATTTTATTAATATAGTTTTCTGTTATTGAAAATAATATAATACATTTAATATTCTTAAGTTTTATTAAGAATATGAACATATATTACTAGCTACATTAAATAAATGAGAGAAAATTAGGTAAGAATGAACTGACCCAGTGGAGCACCTACTGGGACCCCTGGTTGGAAGTTAAACACCTGGGTCTGTGTGATTAAATTGAGAAACATAAGGAGAAACTCAACAGCGTCATTGTCACAGGTCAAGTTTTTTGTTACAGTTAAGTTAACTTAATTAACTGAATTAAGTATTCATTTTTATGAAAAACTTGCCATCCTTTTAAAGGTCATTTTAATTCATATGGATCAGTGTCTATAACAATAAAAAGATACATTTTGTATTCAGTGACCAAAAGGTTTTTGATGTTTCTGACTCTTAGAAAAACGCGGGCAGTAGCTCTGAAGGTACAGAGGATTCAGATTTCTCCGCTGAGCACACAGACAGCTCAGAGAGTGACACCCACACGGTTAGAAACACCCGACTCACTCGATCCTCTCTGAGACTCAGCCGCAATTCGCAAGGTAGGACACGAGAGAGCAGCCATTGCTATATGATTTACTAAGAGCTCTTCTGTAGAAGTATGATTTACTTTTTCATTGGACCATGTAGGAATTCTGAAATTATTATGTGATTTTTCTTGCCCCAACATAAAAATATAATTGTAATCTTGCACCAGTAGGTGACAAAATAAAGAAGGAATGAACGAACAAACCTGAGAGCTTTGTTTCTAGATTCCAGTCCTGTGGGGAACCCTTCTGCCCCGGTTTCAGAGAAGGTGGTGAACTATTCCACCCGCCGTGTGACTCGTAGTCAACAGCAGGGGGTGACAGTCTCGCCCAAGAAATACCCCTTGCGGCAGAGTCGCTCTTCTGGCTCAGACACGGAGCAGCATGGGGAAATCTCAGAGAGGGGTAGGAGGAGAAAACCGCATGGTTCTTCACTCATGCCTTCCCTCATTTGAGTATCTCCATGCTTAGCTCTGCTCACATGTGCTTCTCTTCATTTGCTCTTTTTATAAATGTTTATTGATGACAAGTCAGAGTTCATAAAACATGTTAACTTCACACAACATGAGTTTTCTCACAGGTTGATTCAAAAGTTGGGGGTCAGTTAGATTACATTTTTGAAAGAAATGAATACTTGTATTGGCAAGGATATGTTAAATTAATCAAAAGTGACATTTATAATTTTACAATAGATTTATAATTCAAATAAATGCTATTATAAATAAACACTTTGTTCAGCTAAGAATCGTGAAAAAAAATGTATCACGGTTTCCACAAAAATATGAAGTAGTGCCAATTTATTGATATAATTTGATAATTGATCATATCCACAATGTAAATAGTAATAAATGTTTCCAAATCAGTATATTATGATTTCTGAAGGATCATGTGACACTGAAGACTGGAGTAATGATGCTGAAAATTTAGCTTTATCATCACAGGAACGAAATACATTTTAAAATATACTTAAATAGAAAAAAAAGTTATTCTAAATTGTAACAATTTTTCTGTTTTTACTTTATTTTTAATCAAATAAATGAATCCTTGGTGAGCATAAGAGGCTTCTTTCAAAAACATTTTAAAAAAACTCAGCGACCCCAGACTTTTGAACGGCAGTTTATATCATTTTCATAATTCTTTGTTAAGCTGCCAAAAAAATTATTATTTCAAGTAACGCATATCTCATTTCATGTTTTTCCGTGGCGTTTTCCATTGTCCTTTAATTTGAATTCATATGCACCACTTTCCATTTGTTTCATTTGTTAACAAATAAATACATATACAAACAAACAAACACCCTAAAATAGTTAACTCAGTTTAATTGGTTTTCAAAAATATTTTGTCTCAAGGGTTAATAAAATTACCCGATGTTGCATTTCAAAGGCATCTTGCCTTTTGAAATTAGTTAATTTTGACTTAATTTTAAAAGTTGAAAAATGTATTAAATTTGTCTGGAGAAAATAAAAAACGTGTCTTTATGGGACAACAACAATCAACATTTTATAATTATTAAATCCAGTTTTTCTTTTAATAAGGTTGATCATCACATATTGAATCATTTTTATACTGTAGATTACTGATAAATATGTTAAATATTATAATCCCAACTTTCAAGACATGTGGTTTGTACATACATTCACTTTTACCTCCTCTTGTTATGGTATTGTTTTCTTCTCCCTTTCCTCTGTAGTTGGTTACACATTCAATACAGTTTTCATTTATATTTAGATTTCATGTGATGATTAGAATATACCTTTTCACATTCTTAGACTTTATACAGTCCGGTATTCTGTTGTCTTGGTCATCCAGACATTAAGCAAAGCACAGACCATGATGAGTCCCCACCCAGGACGCCCACAGGCAATGCTCCTTCCTCTGAGTCTGACATTGACATGTCCAGCCCAAACGTGTCTCATGATGAGAGCCTGGCAAAGGAACTATCGCTGAAAGAATCCGGCCTTGCTCACCGGCCCAAAAGACGGCGCTTTCATGAGAGTTACAACTTTAACATGAAGTGCCCCACACCTGGTTGTAATTCACTTGGTAATTGGATTTCATGTCCTCTGTTTTAATAAATAAGAATATTTACAATACCATTCAAAAGTTTGGGTCCAATTTTTTTTTTAATAAATCTGTAATGCTCACCAATGCATTCATTTATTTGATCCAAAATACAGTAAAAACAGGAGTATTGTGAAATATTATTACAATTCGAAATAACTGTTTTCTATTTTAATACATTTTAAAATGCGATTTATTCCTGTGATGACAAAGCTGATTATCCAGCATCATTACTCCTATTCTGTGTCACATGATCCTTCCGAAATCATTCTAATATTATGATTCGCTGCTCAGAAAACATTTATTATTAGCGTTGAAAACGGTTGAGCTGCTTGATATTTTTGTGGAAACCATAATAAATTTTTTTCAGGATTCTTTGATGAATTGAAAGTTTAAAAAAAAATCATAAATGTCTTTACTGTCCATTTTGACCAATTTAATGTGTCCTTTCTGAATAGAAGTATTTTTTTTTTTTTTTAAAAAACATCTTTCTGACTCCAAACTTTTGAACGATAGTGTATTTCTCTTATTCATTTATGTGTTAATAGTGGTTTTATTTTTTAGGTTTTGTTATATTTACAGACTTTTTAATGCTGGATTTAAAGACTGAAATATTTCAATTCCACCTTTCAGGACATTTGACAGGGAAACATGAAAGGCACTTTTCAATATCTGGATGTCCACTGTACCACAACCTCTCAGCAGACGAGTGTAAGGTAAGGGTTGTTACCGACGAAACCTTTATCCAGATGATATTTTGCTGAAACAGCAAGGTTTGCCTAAAAATCTAACATTTTACTCAGGTGAAGGCAAGCTCCCGGGACAAACATGTGGAGGAGAGGACACTGTCACAGCGGCAGGATGAGAACCGCCATTCCGCCCGGCAACAGGTAAAACAGCACATCAAGTATTTAACATCCTCACTCGTGAATCGGTATGTGCCCTAGTAATGATCCCTGTTGAATGACATTCTTTTAGAGCTTCTTTCAGTTTCTATGTGCAATGAACTTTATGTGTCAATTAAATAGTTTCTTGCACTCACATTGTCTGAGTTACCGCTTCCCTCCAGGCCCAGGCAGAGAGACAGCTGCGATATAAGGAGAAGGTGACAGAGATGAGGAGGAAGAGAAACTCTGTTCCACAAAAAGACAAGTACATGGTGGGTGTCACATGCTCCACATATGAAGATCCCTCAGCAGATGCATGTATCAATCTTGTTTGACTCTTTCCAGGAGCACAGACCATCCCATGGCAGCAGTCGTGAGCCTCTGCTGGAGAACATCACCAGTGACTATGACCTGGAGCTGTTTAGAAAAGCCCAGGCACGTGCTTCGGATGATCTTGTAAGAGAGAAGACCCATCACATTTCCGCCCACTTGTTTTCTCCTTTCCCCTTTCATTTTCATGAATCTGTAAAGATCGCAGGTGGGATGAGCCTTCGCACCACTGATTTCTGGGATATGCAATGGGCCCACGCTGGATTCTCTTCCACTGTAGCCTCCACACTGCTGTTATTCTCTCATCTGTTGCATGGAGTGTCACTCAAAGTTTTAGGGCACAATACTTTATCTGTTCTGCCAAGACCACCTTTCCTTAAAGGGACAAAAATTCTGTCATTTACTAACCACCATGACATTTCAAACTTGTATTTCATCATCTTTTAGAGCTTGACTGGGGAAAAAATCATAAGGAACAACAAGAAGGTGTGTAAGTAATGACAGAATTGTTATTTTTGGTTGAGCTGTTCCTTTAAGAGAAAATAATAATATTAACTTGAGTGAACATTACATGCACCTTCTTATTTTCTCCAGCTTATTTCTATCTTAACTTTAATTTCTACATTGCCATCTGTTTATTAATTAGAACATTCTCTGAAAATACTCTTCCGTTGAAAAGTTTGAGGGTTGGTTTTTTTTTTAAACGTTATTGAAAAGAAATATTTTATGCTCACCAAGGCTGCATTTATCAGATTTTTTTTGAACAGCCATAAAAACAGTCATATATTATTGCAATTTAAAAGAACTGTTATTTGAATGTATTTTGAAATGTAATTTATTCCTGTGCTATCAAAAATACAGCGTCATTACTCCAGTCTTCAGTGTCACATTATCCTTCAGAAATCATTCTACTATGATGATTTGCTGTTTAAGAATCATTTATTATTATCTTTATTATCAATGTTGAAAACGTAATATTTAGGTGGAAACCATTTAGTTGAAATAGAAATATTTTGTAACAATGTGAATTTACTGTGACGTCTGAATAAAAGCATTCATTTATTTCTTAAAAACAAATATAACTGATCCCAAGCTTTTGAACGGTAGTCTATATCTCAACCTCCTCCTCACTCACATGTGAATCTTCTGTGGTAGGTTTTTTCCTTCTAACTCAGTGTGGTCATTCCCTCTAGTCAGACCTGTGTTTCTCCCACCCTTCATTGGTCCTTGCAGGAAAAACTCCGGCTCGAGGGACAGGTCACAGAGGGCGGCAACATGATAAAGGCCATTGTGTTTGGCCGCTACGAGTTGGACACTTGGTACCACTCGCCGTACCCCGAAGAGTACGCACGCCTTGGCCGTCTCTACATGTGCGAGTTCTGCCTAAAATACATGAAGAGTCAGACTATTTTGCGACGTCACATGGTAACTTTTTCACATGTTCAGTTAATAACAGTTTCAATTTGAATTTGAGGAGACACCAACTTCAGTTATTCAGCCCTAAATCATTCTGTTGATAAGTGTGTGTTTTTGCATTCACACATAGACCTCTCTCTTATTTCACTTGCGATCAGGCCAAATGTGTGTGGAAACATCCACCAGGTGATGAGATTTACAGAAAAGGGCCTATATCTGTTTTCGAAGTGGATGGCAAGAAAAACAAGGTAGACCTTCTACCAGGACTTTTGATTATCACATATCAGTCCAAGTCAGTCCACATATTTATTTCACTGGCATTTTTTTTATTTGCAGATTTATTGCCAAAACCTGTGTCTACTTGCCAAACTCTTCCTGGACCACAAAACACTGTACTATGATGTGGAGCCGTTCCTCTTCTATGTGATGACTGAAGCTGACAATACCGGCTGCCATCTTGTAGGATACTTCTCCAAGGTACTCTGTTAGTGAATCCAGTGCACCACAAACTTCAGTTACCTTGCAAGTGATGGTTTTGTGGTAATCAAAATACGTATTTGGATTTAGGAAAAGAATTCATTCCTGAACTACAATGTCTCCTGCATCCTCACCATGCCACAGTATATGAGGCAGGGTTATGGCAAGATGCTGATTGATTTCAGTGAGTGCAGTAGATCTAGACCTTTTATATCTACATTTGGTCATTCCTGTGTTTAAGCTTAAAAAAAAAGATCGGTCTTGCAAATTTACGATTGCAATCACAGGTTACATTATTTATGATAAGTTATTTTTTAAAAGGCAAAGAATGTGTTAAAAATGGCTCCTTTACTGTGTGGTCACGGGCCCTTTTGTATGCTGTAATTAATGGAAGAGATGAACATGTTCGTGTGTGAATGGCTGGTATCTGCACAGGTTACCTGCTGTCCAAAGTAGAGGAGAAGGTTGGCTCTCCTGAGCGGCCTCTCTCTGATCTCGGCCTCATCAGTTACAGGAGCTACTGGAAAGAAGTGCTCCTGCGCTACCTGCACAACTTCCAGGGCAAAGAAATCTCCATTAAAGGTACTTAGTGTTACACGCACTACTGTTCAAAAATGGGAGGTCAGAAAGAAAGACATCGCATTAAATAGTTCAAAAGTGACATATTAAAAATGTTACAATAATTATTGGGGAAAAAACCATTTCTGATTAGGTTTACAGGTTGACATAACAGGAATAAATTACATTTACTGTATTTTTGATCAAATAAATAAAGCTTTGATGAGCATAAGAGACTTTCAAAAACAAAAATCATTTTTAAAAATCTTAGCGACCCCAGACTTTTGAACAGCAATGTATTTTCTTTTATGGTATACTCAATAGTGATTTTTCCTCGAATTGTTTTCTTTCTTTCTCATATATTTACTCTTGGGAGCAGAAATCAGTCAAGAAACAGCTGTCAATCCTGTAGACATAGTCAGCACTTTACAGTCACTCCAGATGCTGAAGTACTGGAAAGGGAAGCACCTGATCTTAAAAAGACAGGTAATTGTAATGTAATGTATGTAGTGATTTTAGTACCAGACTGTTTAAATGAATTATAGGTTTATTATTTTAATGTAATGCATCTAACTGATTGAATGATCTTTAGGATCTGATTGATGATTGGAAAACCAAAGAGGGAAAACGTGGAAGCAGTAAGACTATTGACCCTACGGCCTTGAAGTGGAGCCCACCCAAAGGAACATAAGACAATAATCTGCATGCTCTTCCCTGTTTGCTGTAGTTTAGCAGGTCTTGCTCACTATAGGAAAAGCTTAACAAATAGGAAAGCATTTTCTTGTTACAGTAAGTTACAAGTAAATCTGCAATCTCAACTGAATCGTGTTTGTCACATGATGCAGCTAGCATTTAGAGTTTCCATAACTGTCCTATTCTAGGTTTTTGAAACATGGTTAACATTTCAACATGCATTGTAGAACTGCGCATATGAGATCCTATCACCTAACTTATTTTGAGTTGAGTACCAGTGTTTGATACTCAAATGGCAGTTGTTTTTACTGTTGTTTTTAGTAACAGTTAATAAAAAATGTGCATCTCTTTATTTTAGAGAATTGACTATTTGACTGTTATATATTTTATGTGTTTCTACCGCTAATTGTTTTGTGAGCTGAAGAGCTTGACTCTTCTAATTGGGTTCTTGTTTCTTTTTAAATTCCTCTAAACCAGATATGTATTTCCAACCATATTTGACATTAGCCAAAGTCACTGTAAGTAAAAAACAATATTTTACTATTTCAAGTGAGACTAATGTGTATTTTAGAACAGACACATTGCAGTAAATATGATATATTTACCCTTCATAATCATGTTTTTTTTTTTTCTTCAAAAGTCTACATCAAAAAACATTTAATGGAAGCCTAGTTTATAGCATGTTTTGGCTATATATTGCAGCAAGTGTGTAATTTGTGAGCAGCCAGAATAGCTTAATTTAGCTCATAAAATTACACTTGCACATTGATGCACTTGTAAACTCCACATGGTGGATTTATCACAGACTATACTATGATATGTCAGTAGCATGTGTTGCAGTTGATTTTCTGTCTCTTCTCCAAAATAAATTTAGTCACTGTTTAAATCAATGAAGCTCTGTGAGTTCATTGGATTTAAATGATATGGTAATAAACAATTCTCTAATGTACTCCCCCACACAAATCACAAAAGAAGATATTTTGAAGTATGTTGGTAACTTAATAAAATCAATAATATCAGAAAGGTGATCAGCACATCCTTCAGTTACATTGAGTTCCTTCAGACAGATCAGACCACAACCTCAAAAAGTACTCACTATGTCTGATTTAGAAGAAATTGATGGCAAACTTTTTGAAAGAAACCGCACAGCACCTTAAAACATCAACCTGCCCTCTTGACACACTTCCTACATCTTTTTTAAAAAAGTGTGTTAAACATTTTAGAAGCAGATCTCCTGGAAGTGGTAAATGCCTCACTTTTCTCTGGGAATTTTCCGAACTCCCTGAAAACTGCAGTTGTCAAGCCCCTCCTGAAAAAGAGCAATCTGGATAAGACCATCTTAAGCAACTATAGACCGATCTCAAATCTTCCTTTCATAGGCAAGATCATTGAAAAGGTTGTCTTCAATCAGCTGAACAAATTCTTAAGTTCGAATGCTAATTTAAACATTTTCAAAGCACAGAGACAGTGCTCGAGATAATAAACAACATTCGCTTATTTAAGGCAAATTACTTACGATACAGGCAAATTATCAGTACTGGTACTACTCGTCCTCAGTGCTGCCTTTGACACTGTCGATCACAACATACTTGACAGGCTGGAAAACCAGGTCAGGCTTTCTGGGATAGTCCTAAAATGGTTCAGGTCATACTTAGGAGGGAGAGGTTATTATATTACTTATATCTGAGTGGACATCCATGACATGCAGAGTCCCTCAAGGCTCAATTCTTGTGCCACTCCTACTTAACCTGTATATGCTCCCAATGAGCCAAAAAAGAATCTGCTTACCACAGCTATATGCAGACGACACACAGCTCTACTTAGCCCTATCGCCTAAAAGACTACTGCCCCATTAACTCCCTGTGCCAGTGCATTGATGAAGTGAACAGTTGGATGTGCCAAAACTTTCTTCAGTTAACCCCCTCAGACCTGAATTATGTTTCAAGTTTCTGAAAAATATAAAAGTACATTTTACCAGCTCATGAGGTTTCTATAAATTAAAACAAATGAATTTTTTTTTTATTTAATTGCTTTCATTGTGATTTTTTTGTCCATTCCAATGGACATCAGGTCAAAACAGGTGTACTTCCCAAAAATGTACCAACATCAAATAAATTAATAAACATAAAATTTGTTGGTCTATACTTTAAGCTTTTTCTCAAGGTCAAAAACATCCCAGCAGTATACCATTTCAACTATAATTTTGAGGTTTTTGTTTTACAGATTGCACATTGTTTGTAACAAACTAAATATCTTCGAATCAATCTAGAGTCATTTTTTAGAACAAAAACTTGAACATTATAACTTTATAACACGCCCCGACCCCCCCCCGGGGGGCCGACGGGAGGAGCCCGAAGTTTCGGGACCCCCGAGGCAGTTCCGCAAAAGCCCCCTCGGTGGAGCCACCCTCGAAACGTCCCCACTGACCGGTCCCCGGACACGCCCCCATCCCACGAACCCACTATTTGTCCAATAACCCACTATATTTTTTTAAGTTTTTCCGCTGTTCATTCAATATGCTGCAATTGGACGCGGTCCCATCGGCAATCTATTGAATGGGGATTCAGGTAGTGTTTTTGATAGACATTTTAATTAAAGTTCCTGTCATGATAAAAACTATTTTACTGCACTCAGGGGGGTCCCCTGAGTCTGTGGTACCAAGCGCCATCCCATAATTCCACCGTCCACAAACCCACTATTTTTAGAATGGCATAAATGCTACGTGGGATGTCCATATCTCAGCTCTGGAAGGGTCTAGAGCCTCCATTTTTGCACTTAGGTCTAAGTCTCATGGCCCTCTATCAGAATCCAGAGTTTTGGGAAGATTGGAGAAACTTAATTTTTCGCCCCCAAAAAAAAAACGTAAGGGGTACCACTGTCGTTTTTTTTCCGGGTCAAATTTTTGAGTTTCGATATCTCAGCTCTGGAAGGGTCTAGAGCCTCCATTTTTGCACTCAGGTCTAAGTCTCATGGCCCTCTATCAGAATCCAGAGTTTTGGGAAGATTGGAGAAACTTAATTTTTCGCCCCAAAAAAAAAAAACGTAAGGGGTACCACTGTCGTTTTTTTTCCGGGTCAAATTTTTGAGTTTCGATATCTCAGCTCTGGAAGGGTCTAGAGCCTCCATTTTTGCACTCAGGTCTAAGTCTCATGGTCCTCTATCAGAATCCAGAGTTTTGGGAAGATTGGAGAAACTTAATTTTTCGCCCCAAAAAAAAAAACGTAAGGGGTACCACTGTCGTTTTTTTTCCGGGTCAAATTTTTGAGTTTCGATATCTCAGCTCTGGAAGGGTCTAGAGCCTCCATTTTTGCACTCAGGTCTAAGTCTCATGGCCCTCTATCATAATCCAGAGTTTCAAGAAGATTGGGGATACTTAATTTTTCGCCCAAAAAAAAAACCGTAAGGGGTAACACTGTCGTTTTTTTTTCTGGTCGAAATTTTGAGTTTCCATATCTCAGCTCTGGAAGGGTCTAGAGCCTCCATTTTTGCACTCAGGTCTAAGTCTCATGGCCCTCTATCATAATCCAGAGTTTCGAGAAAATTGGGGATACTTAATTTCCCCCCCCCCCCAAAAAAACGTAAGGGGTAACACTGTCGTTTTTTTTTTCTGGTCGAAATTTTGAGTTTCCATATCTCAGCTCTGGAAGGGTCTAGAGCCTCCATTTTTGCACTCAGGTCTAAGTCTCATGGCCCTCTATCATAATCCAGAGTTTCAAGAAGATTGGGGATACTTAATTTTTCGCCCAAAAAAAAAAAACGTAAGGGGTAACACTGTCGTTTTTTTTCGGGTCAAATTTTTGAGTTCCGATATCTCAGCTCTGGAAGGGTCTAGAGCCTCCATTTTTGCACTCAGGTCTAAGTCTCATGGCCCTCTATCAGAATCCAGAGTTTTGAGAAGATTGGAGAAACTTAATTTTTCGCCCGAAAAAAAAAACGAAAGGGGTACCACTGTCGTTTTTTTTTCGGGTCAAATTTTTGAGTTTCGATATCTCAGCTCTGGAAGGGTCTAGAGCCTCCATTTTTGCACTCAGGTCTAAGTCTCATGGCCCTCTATCAGAATCCAGAGTTTTGGGAAGATTGGAGAAACTTAATTTTTCGCCCGAAAAAAAAAAAACGTAAGGGGTACCACTGTCGTTTTTTTTCGGGCCGAATTTTTAGTTTCGATATCTCAGCTCTGGAAGGGTCTAGAGCCTCCATTTTTGCACTCAGGTCTAAGTCTCATGGCCCTCTATCAGAATCCAGAGTTTTGGGAAGATTGGAGAAACTTAATTTTTCGCCCGAAAAAAAAAAACGAAAGGGGTACCACTGTCGTTTTTTTTTCGGGTCAAATTTTTGAGTTTCGATATCTCAGCTCTGGAAGGGTCTAGAGCCTCCATTTTTGCACTCAGGTCTAAGTCTCATGGCCCTCTATCAGAATCCAGAGTTTTGGAAGATTGGAGAAACTTAATTTTTCGCCCGAAAAAAAAAAAACGAAAGGGGTACCACTGTCGTTTTTTTTTCCGGGTCAAATTTTTGAGTTTCGATATCTCAGCTCTGGAAGGGTCTAGAGCCTCCATTTTTGCACTCAGGTCTAAGTCTCATGGCCCTCTATTAGAATCCAGAGTTTTGGGAAGATTGGAGAAACTTAATTTTTCGCCCGAAAAAAAAAACGTAAGGGGTACCACTGTCGTTTTTTTTTCGGGCCGAATTTTTGAGTTTCGATATCTCAGCTCTGGAAGGGTCTAGAGCCTCCATTTTTGCACTCAGGTCTAAGTCTCATGGCCCTCTATCATAATCCAGAGTTTCAAGAAGATTGGGGATACTTAATTTTTCGCCCAAAAAAAAAAAACGTAAGGGGTAACACTGTCGTTTTTTTTTCTGGTCGAAATTTTGAGTTTCCATATCTCAGCTCTGGAAGGGTCTAGAGCCTCCATTTTTGCACTCAGGTCTAAGTCTCATGGCCCTCTAACATAATCCAGAGTTTCGAGAAAATTGGGGATACTTAATTTTTCGCCCCCCCCCAAAAAAAACGTAAGGGGTAACACTGTCGTTTTTTTTCTGGTCGAAATTTTGAGTTTTGATATCTCAGCTCTGGAAGGGTCTAGAGCCTCCATTTTTGCACTCAGGTCTAAGTCTCATGGCCCTCTATCATAATCCAGAGTTTCAAGACGATTGGGGATACTTAATTTTTCGCCCCCAAAAAAAACGTAAGGGGTAACACTGTCGTTTTTTTTTTCTGGTCGAAATTTTGAGTTTCGATATCTCAGCTCTGGAAGGGTCTAGAGCCTCCATTTTTGCACTCAGGTCTAAGTCTCATGGCCCTCTATCATAATCCAGAGTTTCGAGAAAATTGGGGATACTTAATTCCCCCCCCCCCAAAAAAAACGTAAGGGGTAACACTGTCGTTTTTTTTTCTGGTCGAAATTTTGAGTTTCGATATCTCAGCTCTGGAAGGGTCTAGAGCCTCCATTTTTGCACTCAGGTCTAAGTCTCATGGCCCTCTATCATAATCCAGAGTTTCAAGAAGATTGGGGATACTTAATTTTTCGCCCAAAAAAAAAAACGAAAGGGGTACCACTGTCGTTTTTTTTTTCGGGTCAAATTTTTGAGTTTCGATATCTCAGCTCTGGAAGGGTCTAGAGCCTCCATTTTTAGACTCAGGTCTAAGTCTCATGGCCCTCTATCAGAATCCAGAGTTTTGGGAAGATTGGAGAAACTTAATTTTTCGCCCAAAAAAAAAAAAACGTAAGGGGTACCACTGTCGTTTTTTTTTTCGGGCCGAATTTTTGAGTTTCGATATCTCAGCTCTGGAAGGGTCTAGAGCCTCCATTTTTGCACTCAGGTCTAAGTCTCATGGCCCTCTATCAGAATCCAGAGTTTTGGGAAGATTGGAGAAACTTAATTTTTCGCCCGAAAAAAAAAAAAACGTAAGGGGTACCACTGTCGTTTTTTTTTCGGGCCGAATTTTTGAGTTTCGATATCTCAGCTCTGGAAGGGCCTAGAGCCTCCATTTTTGCACTCAGGTCTAAGTCTCATGGCCCTCTATCAGAATCCAGAGTTTTGGGAAGATTGGAGAAACTTAATTTTTCGCCCGAAAAAAAAAAACGTAAGGGGTACCACTGTCGTTTTTTTTTGGGTCAAATTTTTGAGTTCCGATATCTCAGCTCTGGAAGGGTCTAGAGCCTCCATTTTTGCACTCAGGTCTAAGTCTCATGGCCCTCTATCAGAATCCAGAGTTTTGAGAAGATTGGAGAAACTTAATTTTTCGCCCGAAAAAAAAAAACAAAAGGGGTACCACTGTCGTTTTTTTTCCGGGTCAAATTTTTGAGTTTCGATATCTCAGCTCTGGAAGGGTCTAGAGCCTCCATTTTTGCACTCAGGTCTAAGTCTCATGGCCCTCTATCAAAATCCAGAGTTTTGGGAAGATTGGAGAAACTTAATTTTTCGCCCGAAAAAAAAAAAACGTAAGGGGTACCACTGTCGTTTTTTTTTCGGGCCGAATTTTTGAGTTTCGATATCTCAGCTCTGGAAGGGTCTAGAGCCTCCATTTTTGCACTCAGGTCTAAGTCTCATGGCCCTCTATCAGAATCCAGAGTTTTTGGAAGATTGGAGAAACTTAATTTTTCGCCCGAAAAAAAAAAAACGTAAGGGGTACCACTGTCGTTTTTTTTTCGGGTCAAATTTTTGAGTTCCGATATCTCAGCTCTGGAAGGGTCTAGAGCCTCCATTTTTGCACTCAGGTCTAAGTCTCATGGCCCTCTATCAGAATCCAGAGTTTTGAGAAGATTGGAGAAACTTAATTTTTCGCCCGAAAAAAAAAAAACGAAAGGGGTACCACTGTCGTTTTTTTTTCTGTTCGAAATTTTGAGTTTCCATATCTCAGCTCTGGAAGGGTCTAGAGCCTCCATTTTTGCACTCAGGTCTAAGTCTCATGGCCCTCTATCATAATCCAGAGTTTCAAGAAGATTGGGGATACTTAATTTTTCGCCAAAAAAAAAAAAAACGTAAGGGGTAACACTGTCGTTTTTTTTTTCTGGTCGAAATTTTGAGTTTCCATATCTCAGCTCTGGAAGGGTCTAGAGCCTCCATTTTTGCACTCAGGTCTAAGTCTCATGGCCCTCTATCATAATCCAGAGTTTCAAGAAGATTGGGGATACTTAATTTTTCGCCCAAAAAAAAAAAACGTAAGGGGTAACACTGTCGGGTTTTTTTTTTGGTCGAAATTTTGAGTTTCCATATCTCAGCTCTGGAAGGGTCTAGAGCCTCCATTTTTGCACTCAGGTCTAAGTCTCATGGCTCTCTGTCATAATCCAGAGTTTCAAGACGATTGGAGATACTTAATTTTTCGCCCCCCCAAAAAAAACGTAAGGGGTAACACTGTGGTTTTTTTTTCTGTTCGAAATTTTGAGTTTCGATATCTCAGCTCTGGAAGGGTCTAGAGCCTCCATTTTTGCACTCAGGTCTAAGTCTCATGGCCCTCTATCATAATCCAGAGTTTCGAGAAAATTGGGGATACTTAATTTTTCGCCCCCCAAAAAAAACGTAAGGGGTAACACTGTCGTTTTTTTTCTGGTCGAAATTTTGAGTTTCCATATCTCAGCTCTGCAAGGGTCTAGAGCCTCCATTTTTGCACTCAGGTCTAAGTCTCATGGCCCTCTATCATAATCCAGAGTTTCGAGAAAATTGGGGATACTTAATTTTTCGCCCACCCAAAAAAAACGTAAGGGGTAACACTGTCGTTTTTTTTTTCTGTTCGAAATTTTGAGTTTCCATATCTCAGCTCTGGAAGGGTCTAGAGCCTCCATTTTTGCACTCAGGTCTAAGTCTCATGGCCCTCTATCATAATCCAGAGTTTCGAGAAAATTGGGGATACTTAATTTTTCGCCCCCCAAAAAAAACCGTAAGGGGTAACACTGTCGTTTTTTTTTCTGGTCGAAATTTTGAGTTTCGATATCTCAGCTCTGGAAGGGTCTAGAGCCTCCATTTTTGCACTCAGGTCTAAGTCTCATGGCCCTCTGTCATAATCCAGAGTTTCAAGACGATTGGGATACTTAATTTTTCGCCCAAAAAAAAAAACGTAAGGGGTAACACTGTCGTTTTTTTTTTCTGGTCGAAATTTTGAGTTTCCATATCTCAGCTCTGGAAGGGTCTAGAGCCTCCATTTTTGCACTCAGGTCTAAGTCTCATGGCCCTCTTTCATAATCCAGAGTTTCGAGAAAATTGGGGATACTTAATTTTTCGCCCCCCAAAAAAAACGTAAGGGGTAACACTGTCGTTTTTTTTTTCTGGTCGAAATTTTGAGGTTCCATATCTCAGCTCTGGAAGGGTCTAGAGCCTCCATTTTTGCACTCAGGTCTAAGTCTCATGGCCCTCTATCATAATCCAGAGTTTCGAGAAAATTGGGGATACTTAATTTTTCGCCCAAAAAAAAACGTAAGGGGTAACACTGTCGTTTTTTTTTCTGGTCGAAATTTTGAGTTTCCATATCTCAGCTCTGGAAGGGTCTAGAGCAGAGGTCACTAATAGGCGGACCGCGGTCCGGATCCGGACCCAGACCAATAACTAGAGAATTATTAACGAATTATTAACGTTTGACGGAGCGTTTCTATTTTAACTGCGCAGCTTTTCTAGCATTTATGGTACTGGTTTAGCGCGACCCAGGAATGTCACAGACCAATAGCATGCGTTGTAAATCGTCATGTGATGCTACTCGAGTCAGCGGCAGCGCGAGAGACACACACACACACACACAGGGAGAGACGAGACGAGACGACGTTTCACATGGCGTGCTCTAAAAAAAGGAAAGTGGACAGCGAAAACAGAGCTTTCAATCAAGAATGGACAGATTCTTTCATGTTCATTCTTCCCACGGGCAGTTCAAAACCGGTATGTCTCATATGTTCAGAAACTGTCGCGATTATTAAGAGCGGCAATGTGAAGCGCCACTATGAGACCAAGCACAAATCGTTTGACCAAACATACCCACTTAAATCCGTACTGAGGGCACAGAAAATAAACGATCTAAAAGCCCAATATGATCGATCCAGCAGAATCTTAACACATTCATTCACTGCCCAACAACGTGCTAACGAATGTTCCCTTAAAGTTGCTTGGATTTTGGGCCAACATAAAAAACCATTTACTGATGCAGGGGTTGTCAAGGAGTGCATGAGTGCGGTGGCTGAAACCTTACTTGAGGGAAAACAAAAAGAAGACATGTGTGTAAAAATCAAGCAAATACCTATGTCAGCATCATCAGCCACAAAGAAAACAGAAATATTAACCCAGGATGTGCTAGCTCAGCTGGATGAAGCAATTCACAAGGCACCATGCATAGGCTTAGCTGTAGATGAGTCCACTGATGTGTCTGACAATGCTCAGCTGTTAGTTTTTGTAAGGTTCTTTAACATAGACAAGGAAAAGTTCTGTGAAGACCTGTTAGGTGTCACACCCCTTCAGACCAGTACAAGAGGAGAGGACATCTACCTGGCTATAAAGGAGATGTTAAAGAAGAGGGCAATAGAGATGAAACAAGTGTTTC